AGAACAAATGAAAATGGAGATTTGGTTGGACTTGGTAAAATAAGAGTTAATGATAATAGTAATGGGAATAGCTCTACTGGTGGAACAAGAGTTCATGGTGGTAATGGTAATGGCTCACTTGATGGAATAAGAGTTCATGGTACTAGTAATGGTAATGGTTTTGGGTCTCTTGGTGGAATAAGAGATCAAGGCACTGCTAATGGCTCACTTGATGGAATAGGAGTTCATGGTACTAGTAATGGTAATGGTAATGAGTCTCTTGGTGGAATAAGAGTTCAAGGCACTGGCAGTGGTAATGGTAAGGGCTCACTTGATGGAATAAGAGTTCATAGTACTCTTAATGGTAATGGTAATGGGTCTCTTGGTGGAATAAGAGTTCAAGGCACTGGCAGTGGTAATGGTAATGGCTCACTTGATGGAATAAGAGTTCATAGTACTCTTAATGGTAATGGTAATGAGTCTCTTGGTGGAATAAGAGTTCAAGGCAGTGGTACTGGTTATTGTAATGGCTCACTTGATGGAATAAGAGTTCATGCTACTAGTAATGGTTATGGTAATGGGTCTCTTGGTGGAACAAGAGTTCAAGGCAATGGTATTGGTAATGGTAATGGCTCACTTGATGGAATAAGAGTTCATGCTACTAGTAATGGTAATGGGTCTCTTGGTGGAATTAGAATTCAAGGCAGTGGTAATGGTTCACTTGATAGAATAGGAGTTCAGGGTACTAGTAATGGTAATGGTAATGGGTCTCTTGGTGGAATAAGAGTTCAAGGCACTGCTACTGGCTCACTTGATAGAATAGGAGTTCATGGTACTAGTAATGGTAATGGTAATGGGTCTCTTGGTGGAATAAGAGTTCAAGGCACTGGTAATGGTAATGCTGACGGATTTTTTGTTGAAAATAATTTGGGTGGCTTGAACTGGAATTTCAATAACAATAACATGAGTAACCATGGAAGTTCAACTTTGAGGTGTCCTTCTGTATTGTCAGCGTTCTTAGACAATGAGGATAAGTCACCCAACAACCTGATTGTGCAAACCGATGGTATGGTTCCTGTATTAGAGAATCCAAGCATGTTTATTGATCCTCATCAAGGCCTCAACGAAATTTTCCGCAATACATCCAAATCCCAGTTTGATAAGAATCAGGTAGATTTATTAATAACTGATATTAGTTTAACCCTTTTTGCACATATATGAAGCTCATTTATATATATATATATATATAGATATATATATATCTATATGATTTTGAGCAGGATCAAGGTAGAGTGGCTGGTGAAAATCTTGGAGTTTCTACTGCTTATCCTCTTGAAGACATTGGTATTGGGAGTTTGGATAACATAAGTCATGTTTATTTTACTTTTTACTCAGTACTAGCTATATATTGCATATATATATCCATATATGTATGTGTGTGTGTCTATATGGATTGAAAATTTCTTAACCAAGTATATACAATCTATGATTTGGTCGAAGGGTAACGATAATGAAGAAACACTGAACCTTATTGCTGCTAATTCGGAAATGTATTTTTCAAACTGGAGACATGAACATCACAAATCAGGTAAGTGTAGTTTTTATCACTAAGAGCTCCTTTTGTGTACCTTACAATACTTTCATGTAAAATGACATGACATATAATTGAAATTCGAAGGGTAACGATAATGAAGAAACATTGAACCCTATTACTACTAATTCGGAAATGTATTTTCCTACTGGAGATATGAACATCACAAATCAGGTAATTAATCTAGTCTATCACTGAGAGCTCTTTTTGTGTACCTTACAATACTTTCATGTAAAATGCCATGACACATAATTGAAATTCGAAGGGTAACGATAATGAAGAAACATTGAACCCTATTACTATTAATTCGGAAATGTATTTTCTTACTGGAGACATGAATATCACAAATCAGGTAAGTTTAGTTTCTATCATTAAGAGCTCCTTTTGTGTACCTTACATTACTTTCATGTAAAATGACATGACACATAATTGAGATTTGAACATTAATTGCATATATAGGAACATGGTATTGCGGATTTGACGGAACTCTTATTTTCCGATCAGGTAAGATGTACTTTTTTTTTGAACTTTAAGATGTTTTTTAAATATAAGCGGTTTGAAAACTTATTACCGTAATAATTTTTAAAAATTTTATAATCTTTAAAGTTAAAACTTAAAACCCGCACAAAAAAGCTTTTTTTATGACTCTCTATATTTATTGCCCAAGCACAGAAAAAAAAGTATTTTTCCAAATTTACAACTGAAGGCAAAAATTCCAATTTTATGAATACTATACTGTCATTTTTTAGAAAAGTCTTTATTATCTTTGATTTGATTTAGAAGAAATGTTACGTTTGAATTATAGTACATCCAACTTCTTATACCAAATTAATTTACTGTTTTGTCTTTGTATTTTTATATAGGATTTTGACGGTGAAGACTTCATGAAGGGTTTGATCGATCCTGACGTGAATTAAGTTCTCCCAATTTGGCTTAACAGTTACATTGAGTATTATTTTATAATTTTGGTATGGTGTTGTTTAAGACTAGCTATATTTTAAAATTTTGGATATTGTTTTAGTCATCATATCTCAAACTTCGCTGCTATTTCATGGATTAATTTATATGTTAGTTGGTTATAAACATGAAGAACTATGAAGATTTGATTTTCTATCTCTTATAATTGTTTTTATTTATGAATCCGAATTTAATTAAAATTTAATAAGTTTTATAATATATTTTTTCAACAACATACATTATGTAGATTTAAGTTTGGATAGTGACCATTCTTATCACAATCGGCTAGACTACATATATCCTGACCATTCTTAGAATTTAGTTAGTTAGGGATTAATTGAATTTGCTAGGTTATAATTGAAAGATGAATGATGTTTTTGGTTAAATTGCAAAGTATTTATTAGGTTTAAAACGCTTGTTTGGCAGTGCATGGTTTGTTTCGGTGGTTTGTCCCTATCTATAAATAGAGGACTGTTTTCGCATTTGAATTGTCGTTGTTACAACACCACCGCAGTTACTACTTACTGCTGTGGCAATTCATTAGACCATCTCTCCCACGGGCTCATCAGATTTTTTTATTAGTTTTTTTTAAAAAAATTTTTGGATGAATTCTTTAGAAAAATTGGTGTCCAACCCTGAACCCTATCAAAGAGTTCTTTGAAATATTTTAATAATTTTTTTTTACAATTTTTTTTTCGAAAATCAATTTTAAAGATTTAATTTATTATAATTTAAAAAAACTTCTTCATTACATATAATTAAAAACACATGAGAAAAAAAAAATTAAAAAATGAGTTTTCCAAAAACAAAAAAAATTGCATACCAGCGTTGGAGCTGCTCTTAGCATGTTGTTCAACACTTGCTCTAATTTTTTTACGATTCTCTACATTCTCAATTAATACGAAAATCATGAAAAGAGGAAACTATGTCTATCGTAGATTTGCAATTTTTAAAGAAAAACATTAAACCATCCCCATGATTAGTATGGGCGTCATTTCAGGTGAACTCGTTTGTGAAGCGGAAACTGAAAAAAAAACATATAATAAATAAATTGCCCGGTATCACTACTTAAAACATTCTCACACAGTGATATATGAATATATGATGATGAGAATATAAATTCACTATTCATTGAAGTTATCCTAGAGGTTGCAAGCCTATAATACACAACAAAAATAAAATTTTGATAGGGTAACCTAAATGATAAGCCACAAATCATACACGATTAGATGCAAACAAAAAAAAAAACTCCACATATGTATATCATAGATATCTGAAAAATATATTTAATACTATCGTGTAAGTATAATATATATATATGATTATATATATATATATATATATATAGCTTAATCAAATAATTCCCATTTTGAATTTTGGATGGGCAGGTTTAACCGTTTTAGCCTCGGCGGTGGAAGTGGAATTGGAGTCAAAGTTTTCCCATGTCGTCGTTATGGTCACCGGAGGAGCTGGGAAGGAGGCTATGCGTTTCCTCGACGCTTCCTCCTCAAACGTTCTTTATATTGTGGTTGTGTATGCGGTTTCAGTTGCGTTTGCGGCTGCGTTGAATTCTTGATCTTCGACATGTCGAGTGCCTCAACGTACTTCTGTAATCTTTCCTCCTTTATACATTTTTAAAATAAAACAAAAGATTATGTTAGATGAATCACATAGTAACAGAATAACTGGATAATTGTTAGAGAAATGAACTGAGCTGAATCAAAATATTGTAAAATCTGTTTAAAACGCTTGTTTGGCAGTGCATGAACCCCAATTTAAGCCAAACAAGCGTTGAAGAATTGAAGAATCTCTTTAGCTATGATCAGCTTGCGAAGGTTAAATAAATTGAAGAATCTGTTGTACAGGTTTTGCCTCCCTTCTTCCAATAATTGTTTCTATTTGAAATCAGATTATTCAGTTTTAACCTAATTATTACTTCCATTTTCCTGACTTTTTGATTAATATCTCATGAATTTTCTAATTTTGTCTATACTTTCTTCAACTGCAATCTAAAATTTCACTTATCTGCTGAAGAAATGTTTAATTTCTAAGTTAAACTAAAGCTACAACACAACTATCTAATCCAATCATTGTGTCTCTGATTCACAAAAATTGTGTCTGAATATCTGGTATTTAGCAAGACATTATCCAATCAACACAGACCCAACTATAGATGCTAATCTCATCCATAAAGAGAAGGTAAAGACTAAAGCAGAACCTAAACAGAGACATTAACAGAGCCGTTAACAAAGCCTATGAGAAAAATACCTGCACCATTGAAGATATTGAAACTTTCTATTAAAAACGTCCAAACAGTCTTTCATAGTTATTTAGAAAACACAAAATCATGAGCTAACCGTCAAAGGTTTACAATTGAGTTGTTGGCAATTCAGCTAAAAATCCACAAGACACTATCATCCAGCAAATTGATATAATATTACACACTCAAGTTTGTGTCGGCTATGTTCATTCATCAAACAATAACAGCAAGAGCATGCACAAACACATATGACATGGGGACCAATAGAACCGCGTCACACCACTCCAACTTCCCCCAAACCTCTCCTCCACTGCTGCATCTTTCAAGCGCAATCACGGCGCACCAAATCACCTTGTTCTTATATCCACTTGAAGGCAAAAACTTGTCCCACAAAACCACCATCTTTCCTCCACCGTAATCAGCCAATCTAACACGAGCACGACAAGCAAACTTAGGCAATCCTTTCAAACCCTTAACTTTTCTCCACAGCCTATCCTTAGTGCTATACCATTGGATAGCTCGATCATGGTAACAATACAAAACATCTTCTATCACGCACTGAGAAATCCAGATCCTACGTTCACACAATTCTCGTTGGAGCGAGCCCCATTTATTTTCCTTTGGATCGTAAGTCAGGCCTTTTCTCCCGAGTAAAAGGTGGAGCTTTCCTTCAATAAATGAGCTTCTAGGTATACAATCCCAGTTCCGCTTATAGCAATCTTTGGGCACAAGGTCCCAAACTTGTGAACTTGGGTAAAACACCTCTATAGAGTCGAAGTCATCTGAATCTTCATCTTTGCAGCCTCCAGCTACGTATATCTTTCCATCAAAGACGCTAGCAGAAGGGGACATCCTCTTTCCCTGGAGGCTTGGACCATCGTGCCACTTGTGAGACTGGCAGTCGAGGATCGAGACGCTAGACGAGGCAGGGTATCCGCCAATGTTGTAGATATTAGAGCCAAGCGAGACGAGACCTGACCAGAAAGAAACAGGAGAATGTGGAGCTGGGATCGAAGCCAAAACATACCCACTTGACTTCTTCTCACTGGTGGTGTTGGGTAGGGTGTGGTCAGGTTTCCGGGAAAGAGTGAACCAGCGAGGGGTAGGGAACTGTAAGCATACATAGAGACAACTCTCAGTGTTGCCCAAGAGTGATCGGGTCTCGTAAAGCTCCGGTGAAGCAAGGAGCGAGCGGAAGCTCTTGGAGACTAATGAGAGAGTAGGGTAGTACAATCTCGATATGCGTGCGAATATGGACACTAGCAAATCATCTGGAAGCAGCGAAGGGTTTGGGGTCATCGTTGTCGTCTTCCTCTTCTTCTTTTTCTCCGGGGACGACATTGATGATTGCAGATTAGGGCTTTGAGTTTATGCCGTGTTCTTCACTCCTCGGATTGCGCGTGAGGGTATTCCCACATAACCCTAAAAAGGCTAACTCACAGTTTGATAATTGGGACATCAAAATACTTGGAGGCAAATCTTAATGGGCCTCAAAAGCAATAATGAAATTTTAACTTTTCTAAACTCTCTTGTTAAAATTACCAGTTTATTATACGGTTTAAAATTTAATGGGCTTTATGGAAATTTAAACCGACCACTGATCCGATTAAATTACACAGTAATCATGACTTTGTAATGTGTTGAAGTTAGAGGTGAAAAAAATATCAGTTGGATTTTATTTTTATCAGTTTCAACTCAATACTAAAGTTTTATTTGGAGAAGAAAAAAAAAACTGAATGATTGAGTTTGCTCAGTCATGATCATTTTAATTTCTGTGTTTATTTGGATCTAACTTGATCTAAATAATGCAAAAAGGTGTTATAAAATTATTGAGTAATATACTCTATATTCGATTGTTACCACCAAATAAAAGTAATTTGACAAAAGTTTCACTCGTGTAGTTCTAATTTTACATATTGGGAATGAATCAGAGTATCCTTAAATTATTTTGGTTGCAATTTCTTCTTCCTCACTGCAAGACATGAACTTAAGCTTTGATTTAAACAACAAAACCCTCTTTTCTTTCTCTCTCTCTCTCTCTCTCTCTCTCTCTCTCTCTCTCTCTCTCTCTCTCTCTATATATATATATATATATATATGTATATATATGTTTTTGCAATTCGAACACTCATTACATAACTAAAACACTAACAACATGTAAAGATAAACTGAAACACTAAAAACATGAGACACACATTGATCATATGAAAGGGAAACACAACAAAAACGCATATATTCAGAACCAAAACGATAATAACCCACTTGTCTCATTAGTCATTTATCAAACATGAGTTTATGGTTTCTCAAAAAAGGGAGACGGTCACAAAAACAAGTTTTATATCATCTACAAGTGAGTGTATACAGAGATGTTTATCATAATAGAAACATCAGTGAAATGATTCGTTTTGTTCAAACCTGTTTCATCAGTTTCTTATCAATGGAAGGATAACACAATAAGAACATATTCAAAGCAAACTGATATAATAATATGAGAAAAGTAACTGCACGGCTGCACCATGAATATAGTGAAACTTTCTATTCAAAACCAAACACAGTCTTTCATAGTCATTTAGCAACACAAAATCAGCTAATAGTCAAAGGTTTACCATTTAATTGCTCTCTATTGCAATTCAGCTAAAAACTACACGACACTATCATCAAACAAAAAAATACCAAGAGTTACTAAAGATCTAGCATTTCATCAAACCGTAGCAGCAAGAGCACGCACAAACTCATATGACCTGGGGACCAATAGCACAGCGTCACACCACTCCACCATCCCCAAAACCTCTTGGCTGCTCCGTCTTTCAAGCGAAATCACTGCGCACCAAATCATCTTTTTCTTATATCCACTTGAAGGCACATACTTATACCACAAAACCGCCATCTTTCCACCGTAATCAGCCAATTCAACATGGGCATAACCAGCAAACGTAGGCAATCTTTGCAAGCCCTTCACTTTTTCCCACAACCTAAACTTAGTGTTGTACCATTTGACCATTCCCTCATCGTAACAGTACAAAACATCCTCAATCGTACACTGAGGAGACGACCAAAACCAACTCTTAGACAATTCTCGTTGGAGCAAGCTCCATTTACCTTTCTTTGGATCGTAAGTCAGGCCCTTACTCCCGAGCAAGAGGTGGAACTTTCCATCAATACATGCGCTACTTGGTGAACAGTCCCGGTCCATCCCCAAGCGAGCGTTGCGCACAAGATCCCAGTTCCACCCAGAGTAATCATTGGGCACAAGATCCCAAACTTGTGAACTTGGGTCCAACACCTCGATCGAGTCCGAGGTATCTGAATCTTCATCTTTGTAGCCTCCTACATATATCTTTCCATCAACGACACTAGCAGAAGGTAACATCCTCTTTCTCTGGAGGCTTGGACCATCGTGCCACGTGTGATACCGGCAATCGAGGATCGAGACCCTAGACGAGGGGCTTATTATTGTCGATATATTCTATGCTGTAGATATTAGAGCCAAGCGAGACGAGACGAGACCTGACCAGAAAGAAAGAGGAGATTGCAGAAGTGGGATATTAGCCAAAACATACCCACTTGACTTCTTCTCACTTGACTTCTTCTCACTGGTGGTGTTGGATAGGGTTTGGTTAGGTTTCGGGCAGAGAGTGAACCAGCGAGGGTTGGACTCAGAAGGGAACTGCAAGCAAACATACAGACAAATCTCGGGGCGTCGTAAGAGTGATCGGGTCTCGTAAAGCTCCGGTGAAGAGAGGAGTGAGCGGAAGCTCTTGGAGACTAACGAGAGTGTAGGGTAGTACAATCTCGATATGCGTGCGAAGATGCACAACAGCAAATCATCCGGAAGCAGCGAAGGATTTGGGGTCGTCGTCATCTTCCTCTTCTTCTTCTCTAGGGACGACATTGACGACTGCATATTAACAAATTGAAAGGAGGGGGTTTAGGGTTTTGACCTTTTTTACTTCACTGCAAGAGTTTTTACCGCGTGTTCTTTGCTCGCTCAGACTGCGCGTGAGCATATTCCGATATAACTGTAAAAGGGCTAGTTCATTTCACTGTAATGGGCCTCAAAAAGCAATAATGAAATTTCAACATTCTAAACTGTCATGTTAAAAAACAATTGAACTTGGACTAATTGGGTTTATAGAAATTTAAACCGACCACTGGTCCGATTACATTAAACAGCAATCATTCAAAAAAAAAAAAAAAGAATCATGACTTCTGTATGTTCAAGTCAATAAGAAAGTTTAGTTCGGAGAAAAAAGGACCGTTCTAACAAGATCATAACTTGCAAACTCAGATTAATATGAAATCTCTAGCCATCCTAAATCAAAATGAGTTATTAAAACATGCATTTCATCCAGTTTTTGACATGAAAAATTTGACTTTCAATTAAAAAAAGTTTGTGGTGAAGTGAAAGTTATTAAAACGTGCATATTATAATTAGTTTTATATTTTAATCCAAACATGTTAAGTAAACGGGTTAGTTCGTTTTATATTTTAATCCAAATATGTTAAGTAAACGGGTTAGTTCGATATGAACGGATTATGATTCTAATTTTTTAATATTCACCAAAAAAAATTTCGCAATTCAAACTATTATGATTTTTCTTTTAAAACTAAATATAGTTTGTTGTATTTTAATTAATTTTATATCAAACCTAAATTTAAAGAATAATATATCTATTTACATATATAGTTAATATAAAGAATAATATAAAACTGAATTTTATAGTTTGTGGACAGATTATAAAATTCATTTATTACGCAATACAAATTAGATTTTATAATTATAATATTATAATATTTTGTGTATTAGCCTCAGTAATATATTAGTCTCATGCCAACGGATTTAATAAACAGCTTATTTTGTTTTATCAGCTTATAAAATAACTTTATATATGGATTAACTCATTTTTTACAATTCAAACCAAAAAAATAAAAATGACTCTATATACAGATCAATTCATTTTATAAAATTCATAAAATAAATATTTTTGCAAAATAACTGTTTTTGAAAAATAATTGTTTTTGCAAAATAATTGTTTTTGCAAAATTATTTAACGTAATTGAAGGTCAAAAAATATCTCCCACGCTACAGCACGAGTTAATCCTTAGTGCTATGATATTTAACAAGATAACTTTGTGCTATTTATGTTATTGCACTAAGCTCGTTATGTTATTGCAAAATAGTGGAGACGATAATAATTTAACCTCAGAACATTGGATGTGTAAGAACTAGATTGCCAGAAGGCAATAAATGAACGGTAACACATACTCTGACTGATATAGCATATATCTATGATATGCTGTTAGGCTTTTGAATGGCAACAAGTTGCAAGGAAATGTACGAAAGGTGTTTTATTCAGTTGGTGTTCATGGTGGAATTATCGAGTATGTTTGTTAATTTTGAAAGTCCACATATAATAAGAAATGGTTTTGTTCTTTGGTCCATTAGCTCACACTGATGACTCAACTTTTACAAAGTTTGGTAGTCAACACTGATTTTTGTTTTTTTGTTGGCGGGAACAGTAGAACACTCACCATTCTAAGCACTTTATCAAGAAACGACTTGACAAAGTTTGGTAGGATTCCTAATGTTCCGACTTATGATTGCTTTTATTTAAATCATTTTCATTTTCCGACTTATGATTGCTGCTTCTTGTTTTAATATCTCATGAATTATCTAACTGCGTCTATACTTTCTTCAACCTTCAATCTAAAATTTCACTTATCCGCTGAATAAATGTTTGACTTCTAAGTTAAACTAAAGCTATAACACAACTTTCTGATGCACTCTTCCTGTCTCTGATACACAAAAATCATGTCTGAATATCTGGTATTAAAAACATTGGCCCAATCCGTACCGTACCTAAGATAGAACCATTCTCTTAACGTTATGGTTTTCGCTTTCTTCCAAGAAAGCATCTCGAGAATATGTTTGGCTTCACATGTGAGTTGATTCATTGTATATATAAGTTGAATACACGAGTTAGGTGCAACATCTAATAGCCATAATTCACGTAGTTCTACGGAAACTTTTTTTTGTTAAAAAAAACTTAAGATTCTACTGAAACTCCGACTAATAAAAACAAATTCGCGGTACATTAAGCGATCAATAAGCAAATAGATGCTATGTTTAACTAGAGAATATTTTTCTGTTTTCTTATTTCACTAAGCGCATTAATTAGTTGTTAATGCTTTGTTTATGAATTTACAAAAGCTTATAATAAAGTCATAGTTGAGAATGTTGAGAATGGGGACAATAACAAAGAATCTCAGAGAAATTCCAAAACACAGACGCTGGCTATAAAAGTGCCTCATAGAAAAGCTCTAAAGTTTTGTATATTCAA